AAAAAAAAAAAAAAAAAAGAAGAAGAAGATGAAAAAAAGCAAAAATGAAATAAGTGTAGTAAGTTAAATTTGTGTGCATAAAATACTTCGTTACAACTCTTGCGTACCCGTTGGATTGTCAAATTTGTATAGGAGTTGAACTTTATGTATTTCACATTGGTTGAAACCTTGAAGCTGAAGGACATGTACAATTCACTTTGATTTGATATTTGTTATTGGAATTTTATTACATTTATCAATTTCTGTAACTTTTCTGTTGCTTTTTTTCTTGCAACGAACTTCAATGTGAGTCTTCTATGAGTGGTCTCAGATAGTTAACACTAGTATTTAGTTAGTCTCACTGGGATCGTAAAATCCTTTTTGGAACCGGATAATTTAGTTAGTCTCAGATAGTTAACACTAATCCGTTTTATAATTAATAAATAATTTTAATTATAAATGTATTAAAAATAATACGTTTTTTTGTATAATGTAACTAATTTAATTACATTAATTATGTTAAATAATTATTTTTTGTAAAACGAGTAAATTTAATACGTTTTACTTTGTAAAACGTATTTGATGAATTCGTTTTTTAGTAAAAACGGATTTATAGAATACGTCCTTTTTATTTTTTTCTACTCGTTTTTTTTTTTCTTTTTAAATAAATAAATAATTCCCATCTTATAGGGTAGATAAAGAAAACATTGGTTGTGATATTTTTGAAGGAACCCAACTATTAATTGAAACTACAGTCTTAGAATTTATCATTCCCATATACTTACTTACGTGTTTTTCTAGCTAGTTCTTTATTTTTGCTTTATTTCCTTTGATTTATTTTCTTAGTTTAGTTAATCCATCTCATATTCGGTCGTCTAAATAAAGTTGACACTATCATAATCTAGTAATTGATACATTAATTATTTGGTCTCTTGGAATACGACCTTGCTTGCCACATACTACGTAGCGAAGCCGTACACTTGCGGTCGAACTTTAAAAATATAGGCGGACAGTAGTTAGACTACATTGTGCATTGGAGACAATTTTTTAATTTCATAGTTGTAAAGTTAACATTTTCCTACATGGTTCACAATCCATTTAATTTATTGACACTTGTCAAAATTTATTCTATAAAAACATTAGAGCATTGGAAATGCTCTAAGTATATCTTAAATTGAACATATATAGGTTGTATAAATTAGAGTTGAAATCTATAATTTTTCTTATGAATGCGCGAATTTATGTCATTATGCATGTAGATATTGTTTGAAATAGTGATAAAAGTGCTTTATTGATAAAGGGAAAAAATTAAATTAATTCTTCTCGAATTTCTTTTTCAGTATTAATTAATATTAATTATTTGCTTAAGTCTTTCAATTACACAAAGGCCTGGTTCAAACCGAGACAGTTCGACATCAATAGTCACGTTTTGTTGCATTATGATTTGACCTATATCTCTATTTCAGATAGGATTAATAATTTTCGTATTCTAAAATTGGAAAAAAAAAAATAGAAATAACTTCAGAAAATTCGGTGTACTTAAAGTTGAATTAATATCTTAGAGTCTGTTTAGCCTAAGGAGAATAAACATTAAATTTTGAATAAAACCAGATAGCAACTATTTATGGAGCTCTATTGTTGATTTTTCAACATATCATAAGTTATATAATGGTGTATATCACATTTATAAATTTTATTATCTTACATATTATCGCTATTTTACTTGTATAAACATATGAATAATATAAATTTTATAATCTTGAAAAATTATGACTAGTTAGTTAGATGGAAAATTATTATTATTATTATTATTATTATTAGGATGTCTCTTATCAAATATAAAAATATCTTAAAATTTATTACAACTTTTAAAATTATTTTCATAAGTTAGGCAAATACACTCGTAATTATTTTAAAATCCTGTTTGATTTCATGAAAATATTTGAATAAGTATATCTTAACTAATTCAATTCTCTTGTCAAATCAATTAAATAAAATTCTATTTGATTTCATGAGAATATTTCAATAGGTATACATACCTTAAATCGATTGAAAATAAATTTTTACAATTCGTCTTGTTAATGCTCGAGTTTGGTTGTTTAACAATCGAGATCGAATTATCATGAGTATTGATAAGAGAATCGAGCTCGAGCTCGATATCACTAGTTAACGAACAAGTTTCGGTTCAACACATTAACTTAGCTTGACTCAACTTATAAAAACAACTTTATATCATACATAAAAAGTCATATATATATATATATAAAATCACTCATTCATTACACGTCATACATATACGTGTCATGGTAATTACAGTGTAACCATATTTCACCATCTATAAATTAATCGCGCATTAAGTCAGCACCGAAATTCATCCTGTTTCAAAAATAATCATTTAGTCTGTTTCTTTCTTTTGTTTTTTTTCCCCGCTTTTTCTAATGTCGTTGGTACCGATTTTGAACTGATTACTAGAAACTAAAAGACCAACTGGAATAAATGTGTTTTACAAATAATAATAATTACCTAATAGACAGTCATACTTCAAAAAAAAAAAAAAAAATGCATGTTTTATTCTATAAAATTTTTACATTGTATATATGGTAATGTGTGATATATATATCAATACCAAAGTATACATATATAAGAGTATAAATGTCTAACCATTAGTCAAATAGGTGATCTTGTATTAAGCCAGCCCAATTATTAGACTAACTCTTTTTCTTGAACAAATTAAATATGCATAATTTTATTTGAAGATATTATATTTTGAAAAACAGTATAAATAAAATTATGATATTTGATCGTATAAATATATATTTTTATTTAAAAATATGACAAATCCACCTATCCAAGAGTTAGTTTGTTTTGCGAACGGGTTACACTATATTCTGTGAATTTAAACCGCTCAAATCCGTTTAATTGTTATACCATTTGACTACAAATTGTAGTAAGAGTGTAAGACAATAATCATAACAGCCTGCCTAAAGGCTAAAACCTTCTTATTAATCATAACACTACCAAGCACGCGGGCACACAACCAAATAAACCAAATTAATAAATAATTCGGTTCCTAATCCCATGCGCGTCTCTCTAGCAATTTTTCCAACTCATGTTCTTGTTCGTCGATTTAATCGTCAAATAGCCATACTTAATATAAAAAA